TACCTTTTTGGACTATCTGAAATGGCAGCTTAGCAGAACTTGAATTGAATACCAAAATAGTAAGAATATGTTGTGAAGTTAGTATTAGGATTGAGATGAACTCTACAAGGGCATAATAGTTTAATGATATGCTTTGTTTACTAATATTGGTCTTGACTATAGTGATATTAGGTTAGCTGTAAAAATGTAATACAGAAGATTCTAAAAGGTTTAGTACAAGGTTAAAGGTTTCAATGAACTGCTTTAAAGACTTAGTGGCCATGGCATATTTTCATCAGCATTGGCCAGAATTATAAGTAGACAGAGGTAGATGGATGGATACAAAAACTAGAGTAGTTAAATAAGAAATCTACAAGCAGGTTCTAGGTATGGTAGCTAGTGTAAAACCTTTGGGTGAACTACTTAAATTAGACAATGACTAAAGTTGTACAAGTAGCTAGTTGTATACTCTTTTCATGATTGCCTTCTGTAGTTGTAATGCAACCATTAGTTAAATATACTATCAATAAAATTCTGGATCACAAGTACTCACCTTAATATTTAAAAAAAATATATATAAAGATAATATTAATAAATCAGAAGATATTAAAAAAATTCTTTTTGATGATTATCTGGACCAAACTTTCCAAAATGCTGAACTACAGAAAAATGATATAGTTAATATATTAAACTTTATGAAAACTTCTTTAAAGCATTGAGTATGCATATTGGATATTAAAATAGAGTTTAAAAAAAAGCTATTACTTTATAATAACAGTTTAAAGAAGCTCTAAAACCACAAAAGAAATGGTTGGTAAAAGCCAAAAGTCTCTTATAAAATAAATAACAGTGTTGGATATATTACTTTTATATAACTGTAAAACTTATAAAAAACTTCCAGAAGGGTTAAGCACTCACAAAAGCTATAGTTTGGTTTACCTCATGTCTTTTATTTTTTCAAAGAAAATTTTATAAAAAGTAGATGATTCAGTTTACTCTCTTTAAAAAATCAATATGTAAAACACCAAAACAGTCAGCAGTATCTACTTTCTAATCAGGATTGTATAAACAATACAGTAATACAAACACAACTCATACATGGGCTTCAAACCACTAAAACTCTATGAAATACTGTCTCTGGACTAAACAGTATTCATGCTGACTCTCTATATTTAAGTCAAAGTTTTATTCTACATGGTTTTTATTAAATATTCTAGTAAATAGAAAAATAGTAGAGTTTCTGATTTTTAAAAGCCTAACACAGGCTTATAATTGTGATCATCTAATAGTCATATGGTAAAAGTTACACATATCTTTTCTTTTTTTTCTTACTTCTCTTCTTTTCTTCTTTTATTTCTTGTATTTGTATCTTTTATTATCTATCTCTATATCTCTGTGTTTTTTTTTATATATAAGTTTTTTTTTGTTTTTGTTTACTTCTTTATAAGAAGATGTTATCAGTTTAATAATATCCTATTGTAAAGCAGTAGTTGGATGTGACTTCTGACATACTCTAATTTCTTTTGAAGTTAAATAGTCAGTGCAAACAGATCACTTGTAGGGACTTATAGAAGCACCTGTAGGATGTTGAGCCAGAATTTATAAACTAATTTATATATATATAATACAAAAATATATAATAAAGGTGACCAGCAAGACTGCTCAAGTGAAATGAAAAAAAATAAATAAAAAATAAATTAGAAGATAATAATTATAGTTTTTTAATTTTATTATATAAAATTATTAAATTTTATATAATAAATAAATTTAAAAGTATAACAACTTAATGAAATAGATAAGTTATCATATTTTCAAATAGAAACTGATAAATTTAAAATTAACTAAAGATAAAAATTTTGAAAATATATTTATATTATAACAAAAATATTTCATTAATAAATTAAAATAAGATATTTATAACTTTGTTATACTAACATAACTGGCAGATTATAAAACATCTATATAATCTTAGTTATATATATAAATACAAACCAATATTAAATAATGTAAACTCAAGATAAGTTTTTGTATTTATATAAATCTATAGAATTAGAAATAACTAAAACTCACTTAAAAAAAATCCAAGTAAAGAGATAATACTAATCTTTAATAGTATTATTGTAAAGACTAGATTTAAAAAACAGATACTAATATAAAAAGGTTAGACAAATAAAAATTTTTAATTAAGAGGTACTATTAATTAGATTACCAAAATTAGACTAAAGAAAAAAAATACTAGACTGGACTTAGTATATCAGAGATAGGTTACAATCCTATCAGACTATCTAAATTGAAAATTTGATAACAAAACAAGAGTATATTAAAAATACTAAGAATATTTTGTAAAGTAGATACTAAAGTTCAGATAAACTTTGCAAGAGCATAATATTATTAATGACTATAAAGTAGGTAGGTTAGTTAATAGAAAGATATTTTAACCTTTACAGTTAAAACATGTTCTGAAATAGGTAATAATTTGATAAATGTACAGAAGAAAGACTAAATATTAGGTTAGATAGCACTTAGATGTACAGAAACTAGGACACTATTTATCTAATATAGTATAAAGATAGAATGTTTAAATAGGTAATTTCTTAGTAAATTACAAATATGACAACTAGTGTAGAACTTGTAAATGGACTACTTAAATAAGTAACCAAAAGTTATATATGTGATTAGTTGCACACATACCTTGTACAAGTTCATGTAATACATAACTAAAATATAATAAAGATGATAATTATTATTAACATCAACTTTAGCAAAAAACAAAAATTTAAATAGAGAATTTTCTTTATATTTTAATTTTTTTATATAATAATCATAGTTGAAATTTTGCAAATTTATACACTAAGATTACATCAAGGTTACATCAAGGTACTTGTGTAATAGCACAAAAAATACTTAATTGTAATTGGTAATTTATATATATCAAAAAAGTTTAATTTTTTAATTTTTTAAAAAAAATTAACCAATTTTGAACTTTTTTTAAACAATAAGTAATCAAAAATTAATTCATAAATATGTTTTATAAATCCTCAGATATTAAATATATTTATTTAATTACAAGTTAATATATAATATTTTGTGTAATTACATTTAATTCAATGCATCACGTTGGTTAATGAGACGACCAATACATATTAATATCGATATCAAATATTTTTATTAAGTCTTATCGTTATGTAACATTAAAATATGGAAACCAGAAGCATGAAAAAAATTTCATTACGTGTCAAAACTTAAAAGTTAAGCACACTAATTTTAGAAATTTATATAATTAGAAATTACTCTTGAATATTGCAAATGGACAGACTAAAGTTAATACCGTAGCTACACAATGTTTTAAAAAGATATGTAACTTAGGAGTGGTTTAACAATTTGCGGTGTTCAAGGCAATGTCAAATTCTACGGATTTCCAGAATTTGAAATGAAATTTGTTACAATTATTAAAAACTTGGGACGAAAGGTAAAGACTAAATTCTTAAAATTCGGTAAGGTTAGGGTTAAGGTCAAGTTAGAATCTAGAGAGGGATAGTTTATATAATAAAATTGTTCACCAAAAACTTTTTGTTAGAGCACAAAAAGTGGTTACTTATGCAGATTTTTGAGCTATGAGCAATTTTTGGCAGAATGAACATCGTTTTGAATCATCCTGATCGTGTTACGTTACACCTAATCTTGAAATCTGATTCGTAGTTCAGGAGATCTGCGCCACCTTGTATATACGGCAAATTTATTTTACCACAAAAATTAATAAAATTTTTCTAATTAAAATTCGGCAACTACGTAATTGTTTTAAATTTTATAAAGATCCTGATGCTGCACAATGATATAAATTATTTATATGAATTCTCAACGTTGTACATCCAGGATATTCTGAGTATCAATTTCACAATTCTTCACTTATACGTAGCAAAGTTTGTCTTAATAAACCCCAAATTTGTTTCGAACTTATTCTAACTTTGTCCTAACTGCCCCCGTGTACAACATTGCTCTACTTCATACTGCATTGCATGTCTTGATTATCAAATTTTATTATCTATACAGAAACTTAGATATCTTAGTTACTATCTATTAAATTAAATTTAATAGAGATTAACGATATAGTTACTATTTGTATAGTTAATATATAGTTACTATATAAGCGGCTACTGGATATTAAAAGGTTTATGTTTCTGTAATGATTCATATACAAAATTGCACTATACGTATAACCAATATTATCTGTCTATATCGATATAGTTTGTACGTATACAATATCAATACGTATACTAATTTAAAATAAGCATACCATTATTTACAACCAAATTCACTAAACAATGAAGAGAATCAAGTTTGTCATTGTTAGAATGCATCATTGCGATCAAACCAAATTTAGTACAGACCTGAACCTTGTTTAACTTCTTCAAAAGATACTTTTGTAAACAAGATAATTTCTAGAATGTATGTTCATAAAGTTTCATAAATAATTTATTTGTTCATCTTTAACGTTAATGGTAATCTAAATTTGTATGAACTATTCTACGTTAAAAAGGCTTGGAGATCTAAATGTTTCGGTGGCTTGTTTTAGAAATTGTACTGTATAGTTATTAGGATTGCGTAAAATGTATTCTAAATTTGGATATCATTAAAAGCTTAACACCCCACAGGATTACCTATATTTAATTAGGAGTAGAGTCTTTATTGGCCCTCGAAATGTTAAACGATCCCAAATTCGGTTAGCGATGGACTTTAAATATTTAATTTATCGTTAGTGAATTTATAATTAAATATCTATATATATTTTAGGCATAGATTGTTTTGTTTATATCTGTGCTTTATAGTATCAAGTTACTAACAGCCCCAAAATTAATTTATCTTTACCCGTCAAAAAATATTGTTGATTATCGGTAAGATTGAATTGATACACTTTGAGAGATATAAATATATAGCATTCATCTACTGCTACGTACTAAAAGATTGTAATTTTCAAAAAAAAAAAAATTTTTTTTTTTTTATAATAATATATATATATTATAATGACTACGACCGCAGCAAAATTGCAACCATTCATTGACGCAGGAACACATCCAGAGTCATATTACGATAAATTATTACCTCCTACTAGTGCTCAACTAAGAAGATGGTTGTTATCGACTATTCGCAAAGAAACAAGATTACTTGCCAAAATTCAAGTACGTCTTTCTTTTATATATATATATATATTGGACTATAAAACCGGTTTAACTCTATCGCTATATAGAATTCTTTACATCATCCATTACTTGACTCGTTTTTTATGTATTCATCCGCATTGGGATCGCATACATTTTTCATCTTATTTTTGCCGATATTTTTTTGGCTTGGTTATGGTTCAGTTGCGAGAAGGTATTTTTTTTTATTAAAAATTCGAACATGCAATTTTGAACTTTAAAAAAAAAAAAATTGATTTTTGATTTCCACAAAATCACATGACGACTTTCTTGAAAAGTCTTACACTAATAATCACGTCAGGTGTTGTCTTTACCGGATTTCTGAAGGTAAAATAAAATATTTTAAGTTATATAACCTATATGACTACCATAAGACTATATGTTATAATATATTATATACATATAATATATAACATCATTTATTATTTCTTTAGGACTTGTTATGTTTGCCTAGACCGTTATCTCCACCAATCCGTCGTTTATCTACAGGAACGCATCATCTAGAATACGGATTTCCATCAACACATACTACAAACGCGGTATCAATTGCACTCTACTTACTAACAAACATATATGATGTCGAATCGAACAATATGCTTAAATTTGTTGGTACAATTTGTCTGATTTTTTATTGTTTGAGTGTAGTTGCTGGACGTATATATTGTGGTATGCATAGTCTTACCGGTATGTATGAAATAAATATAATGAATATGAATAAATATTAGTAATGATATTCATTTTAGTAATGTAAAAAAAAAAATAGATGTGTTAGCGGGATTTATTTTGGCAATATTGATTTGGTGGATTCATTGGTCTTGGCAAATTCAAATTGATGCATTTATTCTCAATGAAAGTCAGAATGGTGAATATAACTTGATATACTGTTTTTTTTTATGTACATTATTGTACGCGTTATTATACATATTTTTTTCGCTATTTCTTATTATTATTATCATTTCTCATCCTGGACTTGATAGTTCCGGTTATAGTGACCACCCTTGGAATTTCCCTAGTTTATATGTTCCCTAAAACTATAGATCCCTGTCCATGTATTGAAGATTGGTAAGTTTCTTTGAAAATTTGAATTTATAAATTTACAATCATTTTTCATTCTTTTTATCTATTCCCATGCTATTCCCATGCTTAGCATTGCATGTATAGGTGCAGCAGTCGGTATGATTATTGGAAGCTGGAATTTTTCAAATGCTGGTTTCTCGAATAAGGGTAATGTGCCTTGTGATTTTAACTCTAATGGACTTGCTGTAACAATATCACGTGTTATTTTTGGTATGTATTATTAAAATTTTTCTTAAAATTATTAAATGTATTTTGATAATGTCAGTATACAAATGATAAAAATGTTATTCTAAGAGTCTATCTATATTTAAAAACAATATTATCAACTAAAGGACTACCGATAATTTTCACGTGGAGAATTATAATGAAGAAAATTTTACTAGTTGTTCTTTCTCCCATTTATAAAGCATTTGATTTGATATATCAAGATATTTCTATTAAAAAGTATATTTACATAAATATATATTAGTTATCATATTGTTTAAATATTAACATTAAATATTAACATTAACATTAAATATTTATCAAATAGAAAGAATATAGTTCCGCCAATTGATATGATAATAAAACTGATAGTCTACACAGGTAATTTATTTCATAACTATAATGTTGATTTGAAAATAACAAAAGAAAAACTAAATCTGTAATTACTGGGCTTTTTTCAAAAGGTATAGGATGGCTAGTTGTTGACGTGATTCCTGCATTATTTGAAGTTTTTGGAATAGGAATGTGTGTTAGATAGTTTTGTAATATAATCATTGTAAATTATAATTGTAAAGCTGATAAAGGTATTGTAATATTAAGTAAGTATCTCTAATTACAGTCATATATTGCATGTAATAAATATTATTGGCTGCTTTCGCATCCAATAACAATATAATAATTTAATTCCTTATAATTCTTATAAATACGTAGAAAAAATCGCTATTTACCAAATTCTAATCGTTTTACTAGTCATCGCTATCGTTAAATTGTAAACCAAATTTACTAAAATCTTCCAGCTTCCATTAGCTGACAATAATCGTGTCTAAAAATAAAATCTATTAAAGTTCAAAATATATTAAACTAATATTTACTATACACGTTTTCTTTAGATCCTTTTGCTCTGGAATATCAAGTAAAATATCTTGTAAGGCGTTTTACAGCGATTTTCATAAATTCGATACATATAGATTAGATTGTAATTTGATATATACGTATATGTTTTCACACAAATTAACTAAACACGCTAAACAAAAATTTAATAATACTGTATTGAACGTGACATTTATAATGCTAAAATTATCTGTAGAACAAGTATCATATGTAATATATATGCCTTTTATATTTAGAATTACAAATTATTGTAATTTGCGTGAGTCTCTCTAACTTGTAATTTTTGTTATGATAATAACGTTGGCCAAAACTTTCATAGAGCTGGCACATAAAGTATATACGTACGTACGTGCATATGTAAATTTTTTATTGATTCTATTATACCAAAATAATAATTTAATCGGATCGGTGTTGTGAGCCTGGGGAGAGCTTTAGATACTTCTGCCGATTTAGTACTGGTTCACAAACAAAATATGGTCGTTGGTGTATCCTTCAATCGTTTCCGTTGGGGATTTATACCGTTGGCGTCAGACAATGGTGCCGTATGTTACTTGATTTGGGAGCGATAGTTTATCCTTATGCGAGTTTTACGACTGATCTGTATCAGTATAGGCAGTTACGGGTTAGTATCCTACTTGTACTGGTTTATCGAACGTGGGGTAGGTCACATGGTCAGGGTTACTTGAGGTTCGTACTAGATCGTTACTGGTTATATATTAGCGTTAGGTTACTACTGGTTAGGTATTAGGTAGTAATATCCAAGGGTCACTTATCCACTGTACTTATTACTTCAGCAAGGTAAGAAAGTGTTACTTTATTCTATAGACAAGTGACATATTTATACATTTTGATTTTCAAAGGTTTCAAACCCGGTCAAACTCGGATCCTAGGTTCTAAACCCGTACACGTGCTCGAAACTAACATTTGCATATAACGAAATGGAAAAATTTAACAAAAAATACATGTACAAGAAAATTTTACTACTGTTATCATAATTCCTGGAACACCTGATAAAATTAGCCGAATGATTTTTTTGGCCAATTCGATTAAGTTTTTGATTTCGGTAACATTGTATGTATGCATGTACGGTCGTAACTTTTATGCTAACTAGAGCAATAGCACATGATTATTACACCCGCATTACAAGGTTTTGGCAGCATTTCTATAATTTCTATATTTTCTATACTTTATATGCCAGCTCTATGAAAGTTCTGGCCATTATTCACATATCAAAAAATCATACGTCAGAAACTTGCATGTAAAAATTATATAAAGGACATATGTTACATGTTATTCCTTGCACCGTCCAAGGGCACGAATACTATGTTTTTGCAGGCAAATTTGCCTGCAAGATGGTTTAGTTCCACTTATAATTTTAACATGATTTTAGTTTGTGCGAAAACGTATACATCAAATTACAATATATGTAACTTAATCGAATCGGTCGAAAAATCATTTGGATAATTTTGAGGTAATATCTTACGCAGTAAAGTATATTGATTCACTTAAATAGCATATTAAAATCCATTTAAAATCCATTTACTAAGTGTCGTCTAGTAAATATACAACTCAGTAACATAATATCAATTAGTTGAGTAACATGTGTATATTTTTTACCGAGTAATTATTTTATTATATCGACCGTTGAGATAGCTTGTTCACGTGATATATGATAATCACAAACAAAAATAATTTTTTTCAGTCAAATTGGTTCACTGTGTAACAAGATTGAAAAATAAAAGTGTATTTTAAAATGTATAGTTCTGTAGTTATAGTCCATACATATGCATGAAGTTATAACTTAGAGAAGTTTTCTCTATTACGATGCCAAGTTAGCTCAAGAATGCAACATAAACTTGGATTTAGGCGAGCAAGAATTATTTATTTGATAGATTTCTTTTGCAAGAAATATGAAATTAGACTTTGCATCGATATCAGGTTGATGCACGGAAAACTTTAAAGTTGCTGATCTATTCGTTAATGTGGTTGATCTGGAAACTAAAAGATCGAATCGCAATGTACAAATTTGAACAATTCAAGTTTGTCAATGTTCTCAAATAGTTGTATAACGGTTTTTTTTTTTTGAAAGGTAAAGTTATTGCAAGGTCTTTATTATATGTAACCATATATATGTATGACGGATAAGTATTCAATATATAAACTATGTAAGAAACACTTAATTATTATTCATACGATTGGAAAGGTGTCACCTGTAAATTCTCAGTATTTACTTAAAATATAATGTGGTAAAGGAAGTACTGCGACTCGGTCGCTCACAATCCAAAATTTCGCGTAACCGACGATAGGTAATATTACGAAAGAGGTGTGCTGATAGGTGATTAAGGCTTCAGTTACTTGGGTCAGCAAAATCAGGTATGTTACGTCACGTGATCAAGAACTTAAGCGAACAATGATTTTTATGACGTTTACAGAGTTTATAAATGTAATAGTAATATTGTAGTATTATAAGCGATTTATAAAATTAGAACTTATTATTTTATGCAGCAAACGGGACTTAATTCTCTTAAGGGATATTTCGGCCTTTATTTATAACATGAATTTTCGCCTCTTACAAATACCTTTTTATATTTAATACTCAATAAAACTATATGCTCTTATTATCTTTAAGAAATTCTAATTTCTGTTATAAAAACCCCTTGACATCCCGTATGCCTTTCCGCGTCCAAAATACCTTACCCGATCTATAGTGCCATAACTTGCATTTCGTGTATTTTTCATGTAACTGATTATTATGTTATGCTAGGATCTCGTATTAATACTTTACTTAGTTAATTATACTATCTTATTTAGCTTATTACTAATATAACTTTACTCAATCGATTAAAAAATATTTTACTAACAAAGGTATAATTTTGTAAAATGTCTTAGAAATTATGATAATAATAGTAACGAAAATTTTCGTAACACTGGCCGGTAATTTGGCAAAATTTTATCAAGTGATCCAGAACTTATGAAAACAGCTATAATTTCTATTTTTTCATCTTCCGTCCATGTTTATACCGTATAAAATAAGTGTACGATCAAAAAAATCAACAAATATTTATTTTTCTATAAAATTTTTTTTTAAAAAAAACCTTTAGTAAGTTATGTAGCTTTTTCAATATTTTTTAAATTGTTCAAATAATTTTTACCTTTGTTTTTATATTACTACTTACTTATTAGAAAAATGAATAGGTAATCGTTCAATATGATGCGAATTTTTCTGCAAATCATTTCTAAATTCCCAATTTCAATGAAAGGTTTTTTTAACCGCACAAAAAAAACTCCATCAGCTTTTTGTTCAAACAAGATATTACACTTGCGTCTTTCACGAACGATTAAATAATCTCCAACGTGCTTCAAATGTAGAAACAAATAAAATATTTAGAAAGTTGTGTAGTGCACCAAAGTGTATATATAATTTATAATTTTATTCGTTATGTTAAAGTCATTGAACATAACAATTACAAATCGTGAGAAATAAATAATAGCTACGTATTTATTTACGCGACAATCCATAAATAGTGTCCAATTAAAATGCAATCTGTTGTTGAACAACAGAGTAAATAAATCACGTGATGATGCCCACTAAAAAATTTTCCATGACGAAATATCGGAATCCGATTTACCTTAGAAGAGATGTAAGTTAAATTTAAATTGACGTAACTACGCATGCTACTAGCTTGATGCTGGCTTCTTTAGCATTTAATAATGAATTTTATTAGTGATGTGCCTTATTCAATCTGCTCCTACTTCAGCATTCAAAAAACCATCTCCCACGTGATGAAGAAAGTCAAAAATAAAAAAGTCCTGACCCTGGCACGATCCACATGGAAAAGCTATTCCTGGACAAACGAAAAAACTCATCAAAGGGAAAAAACCTCAAAACTGAAATTAACAACGATGACCAGACCATCTCCATGGAAACTATGTCGAAAAAATTTTTTTTCAATTTTTTATCTAAGGCTGTACATGTGGCGACTTATTTGAAGTAGCGCCTGGCTAAAATTAAGCCCCTGAAATTAGATCTTCATGCATGCATTAGATTTTAATTTTAGCCAGGGTGCTACTTTAGATATATAAAGTGGCTACTTTAGATAAATCGCTGTGAGCGATTTTCCAATGTAAGACTTTGGATTCCATATATAAATTTGTAGTCTTCATTATTTTTTATTTTTAGGTAGTCTTAAATATACTTAAAGTGTATTTTAAATTTAATCGCGTAAAGTAAATTAAGAATTATACTACTATACTATAAGAATATGAAATCGTGTAATTTCGCCTGAATACAATCAATCACTGATTAGGGAATCTCTATTACTATTATTAGCGTAGAAAAATATCATTTATAAACCAGATTTATAATTAAATGGTTAAAAGTACGCACAAATATAGGAAATTTATTCACACGTTATTAGTTTTGCAATGTAGATCGATGGTCTTTATGCTGTTTTCAAAAAGTTCCATATACCTATGTGGGAAATTGAAACTGTGAATTTCCGTGATATAGTGATTTGCGTTTGTTCACACCTTTTTTGAAAACAGCTATAAAATAGAATGGTATTGTTGTAAATTTGTAAACCTCAGGAATTCTTTTATGAAAATTCACCCAAATTATGAAAATAGTTAACACTTAACCAGAATTGCATAATTATAAAAAGAAAAATTATCAATTTTGGATAGGTGACTGTCGAAATATCTTAGTTTGAAAAACAGTTGTGTTAAAGTTTTCCCAAGCTTTGAGAGAAAATATCTTGACAACCACCAATCCAAAATCAATAACAAATTTTTCATTTTAATTATACAATTATATAGATTAAATAAAAATTGTTATTGATCTTAAAATAAGTGGTTGTCGAAATATCTTTGCTAAAAGTTTAGAAAAAATTGCCAATCAGATCGTAAAACATTATCTATGACACGTGATCTGTGCAATTTTTTTTCGAGCACCAATGACTTGACAATTAAACAAAAAGCTACAATAAAACACTAATTAAGATTATTCTAAGAAGATGAAGAACTTCAAATTTATTATAATTCACATGGTTATAAAGCTAAAGAACTTATATTCAACTCTTCAAAATTCAAATATAATTTTTATTGTAGAGCTTTATAAAAAATAGTGTATTTTGTCCTATAAAAAAAAAAAAATTATAATAATCGAAGCAATTAAAAAATATATAGTATAAAATATATTGAACAGGTAATAAAAATATCTATACCTTTCTCTCGATAGACATCTGTTGAGAAGGACCATCTCTATCGTTTTCTGGTGCAGCATCAAATACATTGAAGAATCTTTGCCCATCAACACCAACTTCTAGGATCGATGCCATATTACCACAACGGTAGCAATAATTCGGAGCTGACCAAACAGTTGACAGACGATCATCATAAAGAACCTATAATTGTCATTGTAATGAGATGATAAAATACATTCAATATTGAATCATTTATTTTTAAATTCCGATTTACTTACCTGAAATCCTTCCATGCATAGTTGATGCGCACGTAAAATATGTTCCATTTGATTTATCTCGAGAAATTTCTTGACAACTTGTCCACCAAAGGTATATCCTGCACCTCTAAAACAATAGGCATATTTTTGGAGATAACAAAATGCAACCACAATAAAATCAATGTAATAAGCGTAAGACACATATAAGATATATACAAACCTTGGTGAGATGGCAAATTCATCTTTGTCTGGGTCAGGATCAGACCAAACTAAGTCTGCCATCGGACCTTCGTGTGGAATTTCTACAATGTGTTCGATTGACACTATTATTAAAAATAACCCATTCATTAGTTTGAATATGAATTTTAAAATACCTCTAAATCGATCAAGAATTTTTATCTGGTCTATGCTGTGTATAGATGGCGAAAGCCCTATTTGGAAAAGAACACTGAGTATTTCCAACAGAATATTCAGAATATTCATTTAAGATAAAAAAATAAAATTTGTCAACTTATTTACCACCATGAACACAAAATATTTTGTTGTCTATTACCACCGACAAAGTAAGGAAGTCAAACATATCCGTGAAGTAATTCCAAACGTGTGTAGAACCATATTTCCTAACGCATTCAGTATAGAATCCATAGGTCTAAGAAATTAAAAAGATTTTATTGAATATGTGAATGAAAAAGACAATTAACAGGTTGACAAATGTAAGCAGAAATTATACCGTTAATATACTTACTTGAGTTACCGCTCTTGATTCATGATTTCCTCTTACAAGCTGTACTCTATCAGGATAACGTAGCTTAAGACAAGTCAGTAACGAGATAGTTTCAACGCTAAATAGCCCCCGATCCACGTAATCGCCTGCAGGAAACCGAACAAGGCGAATGTTTTTGTGAACATTCGACAGAATCACCTTTATAAGAGTGTTCAAATCTTTTTAATTTGGCTTAAAATCTTTAAAGTACCAAGGAAGAGATAATTTGTATGTGGGCAATAACCCCCAATTCTAAATATTTCTATCAGATCATAAAATTGGCTGTAACAATGTATATATTCTGTTAATGTGAGTTATATTTCAAAAAATATTCAAAAGTTGGGAAGAATATTTTTAAAGCAATAACAATGCTTCCCATAAACGTTACCCGTGAATATCACCAACAACTGTTACAGGTGCAGAAATATGAATTACGTTGCTTTCACGCATTAACAACTCTTTGGTTTTTTCGCAAATCTCTTTAAGGAGTGATTCATCGAGAAGTTGTTTCTGAAGTAGCTGAGAAATACAAGCATCAAGATCTAGGCCCATCACAGAGATGTGTTTGACACAGAAAATTAATAAGCCGAATATGTTGTCATCTCCAGTTAGAAGTTACTCCAACAATTTTGAGTCTATCATTAGTGTCACATGCCGATTTACGGTATTGATTAATGAATTTTCGAAAATCACCAGCTTTTCTCACTTTTTTTTTTTTCTTTTTTTTTTTTTTTTTGATAGAAAATAACGTATACAATTTCAAAAGTAATTAATAAAACCATTAGAATGATAGCATCAATCTCTTCGAAATTTCCAGAAAATAATTCAGCCGATGTTTCGGACTCATCTGTAATAATGCAACAAAATCGACAATCCCCAAAGCATTCACGAACACACCCTGACACCTCGTCGGATTCTGGTTCTCAACAAGGCGTGAGGAAATCTCGGAGGACGTCATTGCGTGAAAAACAGACAAATTATGCAGAAGCAACTAGTTCTTCATCTTCAGAATCAGAAGTTAAATTAGGTGTGAGAAGGCGACGACCAAGTTCACATAAATCCGGAGAGGATTCAGTCTCATCTTCGAATTCTGACTTGGAATCTCGGCCAATAGTTAAAAGAGTTCGTTCTTCTCGCGACTCTCAATCTCCAAAAAAGTCAAGTAGTTCTTCACTTTCTGAAATTTCAGAAAATTACTTGTCTTCTGCTCTGGATACTGAAAGTGAGACGCAAGAACCACCATCACCTCCCGAAACACCTAGTCTACCACTTCAAAAACGTCATTCATCTCAATCAGAATCATCAGATGATACGTCTGAAGATACTGATAGAACATCGGAACCTCCGTCACCTCCAGGAACTCCAGTACCTTACGATCCATGTAAAATCTGTGGTGGGTTTGATGATCCATTAGATTCACAATATCCACTTCTAGTTTGTGCTGGTTGCCAAATATGTGTTCACACAGGTTAGTTATATCGTAATTATTATAGTTTATTATAGTTTATTATAGTTTGTTAGATGAATATTATATTCTGCGTCTATTCCGTGTATGTTAATTTAATATGTTTGTTTTCAGATTGTTATGGAATATCCAACCGTAAACCAATGGGAAGAAGTTGGCGCTGTGACCCATGTCTTAATGGAAGAATTCGCAGAGCAATTAAAGTGTGTATTTAATAAATCTATAAAGACATGGGTTTAAATTTTCTCGTCTGTTATAAGATTTTTTATCGAAATTATCTATATCATGCGTTCTAGGTTAAAAAATGCGTTCTATGCAGTCGTCCAGAGGGTGTAAATAACGCAATGAAGAGAACTAACGGGAATAACTGGGTTCACGTTCTATGTGCTACATTTATTCCTGAAACTTCATTCTACGACGCAGAAAATGTTTTCTTAATCATGGACATTGAAGACATTCGAGATGAGAGTTGGAATGCTGTATTTATCTTTCAAATCTCTAGATATATTGTATTTTTTTTTTCTGTCAATTTGTTAAATATTATTTTTTTTTTATAGATTTGCTCTATATGTCAGATGCGTGGAGGTGCTTGTATACGATGCTCTAATTATGCCTGTAAGAAATTTTTACATATCACATGTGCACAAGAGGCAGGTTGCAATATAGGGTTTGAATTAAAATCCCAAAATCTAGCCTCTTCACAACAGGAATTATCTCAAAGATTATCTCCATTAAACCTTAAATCTGAAGAATCTCAAGATGATATGAAACAGTCTATATTTGATGATATTTCTCAGTGTGAAATGATCTCTAGAGTTTTTTGTCGTGATCATACTGATTTACCTGAAAATTTTGTGAAACTAAATATTCGCGACTCACATTCTCATCAGGTATTTTTTATCTTTTTAAGTTAAAATGCATTATAGTGTGTTATATTCTATTTTATTTGTATCCGTTAAATCCCTATATTTATATTTTATTTTAGTCAGCACTGTATATTTATATTAAAAAATATAAGCAATATGATGCATCTCTTAGAGAGTACAAGTTAAAGACACGATATACGCTAACAATTCCAGACCAAATTCGAGCTGCAATGAATGCTCAGGAAGCATGGTACGACCAAGATACAACAGATGAAGATGAAGAGGACGAAGAGAGTATGAAGGATACGATTGATACTATGAAGAAATTTGAGGATCTTAAAATACAGAATCATATCATACGTCCTTCGGATAGGCATTGCTCACGTTGTCCAGTCACACGCACAATCAAATGGTGGCCTGCAAAGTGGCATTTTTTACCAAGACCTTCAAGGTTTTCTGTACGAGATGTCAGTGTTGTAATTTGTCATAGTTGCTTTCAGAAAGAGAAAAGCACTCGTGTAGTTATTGTGGTCGATTAAAAAAAATTTATAAGCTTTTGTCGAGCCGATAATTGTAATACTGCTAAGCCGACTTTGTCGTTATTATCTTTAAAAAAAAAAAAAAAAAAAAGTAAAATTTCCAATAATAAACTATAATCCGTAAACTTTCGCTTACCACACTAGTATTTTATATTGTTTTATTCGTCACTACGTGATATGATGATTCAGAATGTTATGATTAGATATCCCATATAAGTAACCATAGTTAGAGTTTTTTTTTCATATATTACCCTGATTTAATCTATGAAAATTAAATCGGATCCATAGCTACTGAAGTTTAGGTAAGTTTAGGTTGCAAAAAAAAAAAAGAGATGTTTTCCATGAAGTAATTAAATTAAATTTCTTTTATACTGTGCACGTTTAGATTAACACAAAAAAGTAAATATACAGTCTATTCTAGATGTAATTACTAGTAACCAGAATTAGACATGACTAAAATAGTAGTGCTTATATAGAGGTAAAATAAAAATATGTAATACGTGATTGTCTAATCAGACTGTAAATTTAAATAACAGCTTGTTTTAATTATTGTTACCAAAAAAAAATAAATTTAAAATCTTTACATAAACGTTAGAATCTAATTCGGCTATAAAAGTCACAGGACATATTTTTATACTGAGGTTTCTATTGCTATAATAGTTCTTAATAATCATGCTGTTTGTTATATATAAAAAAATGTGATTATACAGTAAAATTTGAATAGTAATATGAATATATAAAGTATTTTTAATAGGTGCTACAGAAAAGAAAAAAATTGACAATTTTTTAAAAATTTTTTTTTTTTATATGTATAAATTAATTTAGAATACAATCAGAGTTAGTGGAGTTTTTTTTAAATATTAAGGTAAGTACTTGTAATCCAGAATTTTATGATTGCTTTACAACTATAAGGAGCAATTATGAAAAGAAACCAGAGTCATTTTTTATTTAAAATACAAAAGTAATTATATTAATAAAATTTTACAATATAGTTTTTTAAAATTTATAGTTTTTTATAGTTTATTATAAAATTTATAATAAATTTTTTTTTTTTACGTAGAGAACCAAGATAATGATGGTCAGACCCAACATACAGGGCAGGCTATGGCACTCTTCGTAGCTGTGAAAACCGAGCTTAAAACAGCGAGCGACCCTACAGAAGATACACAACCCAAATCATTATCAACATCATTAAACTCCTATGATTTGAATATCTGTTATAACAAATTTTTTCAATATCATCATCTTCCTCTACTACACCTCCAACCTAATATAAAAACTTTCTTTCAATATTTACAATAAATCAACTCTATACACTTATTAAATTCTTCAATGATAACACTAAAAACAAACAAAACAAAAGCTCACATTTATTTATTGCATGAGTCTATTATTTTACCAAATCATTACATTTTTTCTACTAATGATTTCTCAATATATCTCTTAAATCTTAACCTAATTCTCAAACTATTGATCATATTTCTACCAATACTAAATTTAAATCACAAAGCAAATGCAAAACCTCTATATACTTCAAAGTCATAAATACAAATAATATACTCTCTCCTAGATATACAATTACACCTCAGCCCTCTAATTCAATAAATGAAAATTTATAATCTATTTCTATTAATAAACCTCTTGAGCTATTAATCAGTATCTACAATATTCGAGATTACAATGAAGACCTTAAACAACAAATATGAGAGAACTTCTGTCTAACAAACAATCTTAATATAGTTAGCATTAGTGAAACCAAAATAGTTAACACAAATGCAATAACAAAACTACAAAAATCTAAACATTTTATATACTACTAGTCATGCAGCAACAGCCCAAAAGCTAGTACTATAATTATGATCAATAACTGGCTCAAACCACACATTCACAAAATATACAACCATTCTGGTTATACTATTGTTATTGATCTTTTCTTTAAACATGACTTCAAATTCTGTATTATATCAATATATCTACCTTGTGACAATATTCAACTTAGATTAACTATTTAAAATACTGTTATTTCATGACTCCAACAAGCCACAAGTTCAAATTTACAATCTATTATTCTGGAAGACTTCAATGCTTCTGATAATAGTTTACATTCCTCTTCTATAAAATATAAATTACTGCATTTTCTTTAATATAACAACATGTATAAACTTAGCTGCCCATACTTAATCACTATTCAATACTTGGCAAAACAGCTGATTCCAAAGTCAAATTGATTACATCTGGGCAAACCATTCAATTATTCACTATCTCACTTTATACAATATCAATAACTTCAAAACTAGTACAAATAGTAATTATAAAATTCTAATTTCCTCTTGATCCTTTCCTTATACTCATTCTGGCAAATAACATTTTGTAACCAAAACTCGAAAAAGAACATTTTTCTACAAAAAAATAAATAAAGAACTTTGACAATTATATACTGATTAAGTAGCTACTAATCTTAGCTCTAACTATACACTTACAACTGTTAATACAACAGAATCTTTGTAAACAACATGTCACAAAATCCAAACCAGTATTATCTCAGCTGCTCTTAAACATATTCCTAACAAAAAAGCCACAATGTATAACTTTCAACACATATACTCTGCCAAAGCTTCTTTTTTATATCATAGTCTTAAAAAGCTATAAAATATAATTTGACAAATTAAAGCCTCAAACACCTATACCTATACAACTTAACAATATAATTTAACAACTAAATAATGTTGATAATCTTACTATTCCTTCTTTACCAATCAGACATGATTTATTAACTAACTAGATCTCAAATGCTAATAATGAGTAGAAAGCACTTTATTATGCATATAATATCGAAAACATTAAAATAATTAGATAACAAATTAATGAAAACATAGCCAAAAGATGTGATAAACTTTAGTCTTAACCAAAATCAATGATTAACAGTATATTAAATTATTACAAAGATCCTGTAAAGTTTGACAACATTAAAACAGACCATGATGTTGTTACAGAAGTATAAGAAATTAAAACACATATTCAACAACATTTCAATCAATGGACAGTACATAGACAAATTAATTAACAAATTTATAATTTCTCTTGGAACAATAAATATTAATCTAAAACAAACATTCATTCAGAATGGTATTAAGAGGTATTAGCAGAATTTTTCAAAGAAGAAATCTCTAATACACTTATAAAACTTTCAAATAATAAAGTCTGTGACCCCTTAGGCATAAGTTATGAAATACTTAAATATGCTGGTTTACTATTTCTTTATGCTATAATTGCTCTATTTAATAGATGTATTTTAACTAACAGTATACCCAAACAATGAAAAGAAGGAAGAATTTTTCCTATTTCCAAAACACCTATCTTTGATGGAAGTTTAACTAATACCAGACCTATTAGTCTTTTAGAGCATATTAAAAAATTATTTATTAAACTTCTTACCAATTGCCTAAACACTACTTTTATCACACATCTAATATTATCTCCTTATAACTATATTGCTCTTCCTGATAACAGTACAGCAATACCAATTCACATACTTAACAATATAATTGAAGAAGCCTCTTGTAATTCCAAAGAACTTTGGCTTATATCTCAGGATATGAGCAAAGTCTACGACTCAGTAAACTTTAACCTCTTTTGTAAATCTCTAATATGAATCAACATGTTAACTAAATTAATAGAAGTTCTTACTAATCTGCTTAATGATCATCACAACTAAGTCATAACTAATTTTGAATTTACAGATTCATATTTTGTTAAAAATGAAATTAACCAAAGAGAAACAATAACATCATTATTTTGGCATATTTACTATGATCCTCTTATTCACAGAATTGCATCTCAATTTATTGGTTACACTCTTTTAACATCATAGAAAACCAGTCTATAACCTCCTTGACACCAACACCTTCAAGCCTCTACCTCAGTTCTCGCTTATATAGATGACACATTATAGATTGCTCAATCCAAAAATGAGTTAGAACAAATCACTCAAATAGTAGCATTCTTCTACCAAATAGCCAATCTTTATATTAATCCTACTAAATCAATATTTGTCACAAATGCCAAACCCACTTCTATTACTTTCCTTAACTCTACTCTTAACTCTATTTCTAATAACCAATCTTTTAAATACCTAGGTTATTGGTTTACACTTAACAACAAACAAACTTATACAATTAAATTAATTCAAGAAAAAGCTTTTTAACTAATCAATACCGCAAATACAAAAAACATTACAGACAAACAAATTACTTACATTATTAATACAGTCATTATCCCAATATTTGAATACAGAATATATAATATTATACTTTCCAAAACTATATGCAATCGCATATTGGCCAAATATCTTACAGTTGCCAAACACAAATCTCATCTT